TATTGGTGAGAAGTTTTTGATAAGCCCTCCCAGTTCCTCTGTATACAGAACAAATGTGATACTAAAATCAGAATTGCTCAGTCTGCATGAAGCAGCCGATTTTATCAAGGAAGTTCTATTAACAACCAAGAATTAATCGTTTGAGGCATACTGAAGCATTAAGAAGGTGATAAGTGTCACTATAGGAAATCATCATCGTTGCAAATATAAAGAAATTAAACATATCTCTTTGCTTCAGTACCGTCAACCTCCATGTCCATGGGGAGGGAATTTATAAGCAACTACTCTCGGCAACTCCAAAATCGAAATGTATTTGCCGTAAACCATCATCGCACAAATTATGCAAAATTTGGACCATAACATCGCATAACGGCCTCTTAAAATTAATACTGCGAAACCATTGACTTTAAAAAGCACGCTGTATGCTCATCAACTTACAAACACTCAAAGAACGCCCCGAGTTTGCAATGCTTTTCTTCATCAATTATATTATTTCACATGGCATAGAATCACCAGAAATACTTTCACAATTAAACTTCTACACACCCTGTCGTGTTTTAAGAACACGAAAATTATTCTCAGAAAAACCACACAGAACAAATTACGCAAAAAATGGCCCCTTCAATCGAATGATGCGACAGTATAATCTACACTATGAAGTCATTAGAATCAATATGTCAAAAGAAGAAACTAAAACCCAACTAAAACATAATAGAAATAATGCATAGTATGCAAGTAAAACATTGTAACCATTGTATGTGGTCTACTTTGCTTGACGAAATAAATAAATAAATAAAAATGCCTACACACTTAGAAATACCTTACACGTGACGGAATCCATCTTTGAAATAAAGGATGAGACATAAACAAACATGTCATGTAAAATTAAGTGCTCCGAGACTGAAAAGTTCGAAAGTACAGCAAAAAAAAAGGTTATCTTCCATTTGATTCCACTTAATTAATTTTGGTATCCATGACAGATACGTATTTCGACTACAATGTGCAGCCTTGATCAGTGTCATTCCCACTAAAGAACTTATCTTTTTTTTAATTTAAATGATCTTTATTTCTTGTGATTGTGTGGTTTACATTTATGAATTTTTTAAGTGACACAGATGCGTCTTTTCAACTTTAGTACATTTCAGATTTTAATTATTATTTACAGTTCCTAGTCCTATCAGGTCTATTTTAAAGTATGACCACCTTGGTGAGATTGGTTTGAGAAAGAACTTATCAAAATCTAACCCCCTTAAGTACTCATCCCAAAAAGTCAAGATGAAATGACACTGATGAAGGCTGCACATTGTAGTCGAAATATGTATCTGTCATGGATACCAAAATTAATTAAGTGGAATTAAATGGAAGATAACCATTTTTTGCTGTTTTATTTTAGAATTCTGCTAACAATCCAATTTCATTACTTCATTATGATGGCTACCAAGCCTTTGGGATTTTCCTTATTAAAGAGTTGAATAGATTTTTCTCCTTTAGTTTAGTTAGGTAGGTTCCGATTCAACACATTGTAGTTTCATTTTTATACGTGTGATCTTGACAGTCTCAGAGCACCTAAATTTACATTAATTTTTCTAAGTGTGTAAAACAATATTGTAACTCTGAATCTTTAACTTGAACTCGTAAGTATTTTTCTTAAGATTCATGATCATTTTCACCGGGCATGATCCAAGTACTTCCTTTCCGAAATTTGTCAGATGTCAGTCCAATGCAAAAAAAAAGGAAAAAAAAAATTTTTTTGAACCGACCTTCTCCGATTTGTAATTATTTGTTATGGGCAGGAAAGGGACACACATGGCCTTTAAAGTTACTACCTAGGACACATCAATGACCAAGCAGTGGAGTAACTGTTTTTACATGAGATTAGATTTAAGTTTATACCTAGCTTCTAACTGAAAATATACCTAAGTTAATATACATATAGGGTTTTTGATCTAATTTCCGTCCTACTAAGCACAACCCGCGCTTTACCTGTCTTTCTGTTCAACGATTTTGAACAAAAAATGGAATACATCTATCAAAGATGACTTCTAAATTCATTCACCTTTCCACCGGTAGATTTGATGAAGAGTCACAAATTGTAGAGATATTGTTTATAATCCGTCCTAACGCATTGAAACGCCAATAGATTTTCTTTGTCCTACGGATAAACGTAGGAAAGGGGATTCGCTAGGAGCACTTCTTTTGTTTTGAGAACAATGATGATATTAATATAATGCGCTCTAATAGGATTTAAGTTGTAGCTAATGAACTAACGCATCGGAACAAACTTATTATTGATTTGTGCATGGTGAAATCATTGATATTATTGATCGATAAAACGGAAATGGGCGATCACGACGAAGTAGCACTCTACCCTATTCGGTAAGTTGCGATGTAGACAAAATACGCGTATCTGTCAAGGATAAGTAAATAAGGTAGTGAAATTAAATGGAAATTACTAATTCTTCTCTCTTTTTTTGTACAATGATTCACATTTTTGTTAAAATTCGGCAATTAGGATCTTGTAAATTTTTAAAATGGCGTCTTTGAAATTTTACAAAAAATGTAAATGGCATTTCTGTTCGAATAACAAATACAAAGTTGTGGAGAGAAATAATGTGTTTCTGCTAAAAATTATCAAACATTTTTTTTTTTTTTGTTTATTTTAAGAAACCCAAATATCTCAAAAGGTCCTTGCCAGATAAAAAAAATGAAAAGAGCTTATAAAAATTCAAACATTCGGAATATTGCAACCCATGGACACTTCAAAACTGAAAAAATCTTATAATAAAAACTTCTGTTTAAATGTTTGAACTTTATTTCCTGAGTAAATTGCATGAAAAATTGTTTAAACAAAACGTTTAGAAATATCACCAAAAGATCTTGTTCTAGTATTTTTGTCACAATTTTTAACACTCAAAAAAAATCTTTTTTTTAAATTAACTTCAAAAATCGCACCACAACTTTGTTTCAGACACCATTTCAAACTAAAGTGCCGTTTCAGCGCTACAATTTTTTGAAAAATTTCATTGACGCCATTTGTAAAATTTGACAAGATCCAAAATGATCGAATGTGAAGTCAAAATGTGACTCATTGCCCATAACAAACAAGTATGCTAATCGGAGAATTTTTTTTTTGTTTGCAATTCAAGTTTTTCGATTCATCATTTGGCGTGGAACTGTCCATGAGTCAAAACGTGTTGCATGAAAATTCAAACACAGACCCACACATCTTTATAATTCTTCTCTTCCCTAAACGTGTACTTGAGCAAATTTTGACAGAATTTAAATAAGTGGGAAGGGTCAAATATCTCCATAAGTAGATTCATTCAGGTTTATCCTAATTGATCTGGGTTTTCACTGCAGTTTTAGGAAGTTCTGCAAAATTTAGAAACGTTAAGCGAACATTAGTGACATTTTGTGAACTTCTGAAACATTGTGTTAACTTGTGCGACGTTTCAGAGAAGTCTAATGAACTTTTGGAGAGCCATACGCATTTCTGGGATGTCCTACAAATTGCGGAGAAGTCATACGAACACCGGATAAGACCTTCGAACTGAGGAGATGTCTGCGATCTTCGGGAAAGTTCTGAGAGCTTCAGAAAAATTATACTGACTTCATCGCAGTGCATCGATCTTCATAGAAGTCATTCGAGAACTTCATTAAACTCCTTTCTAAGTTTCTTTAAACGCGGGGCACTTAGCCTCTTAATAATTTTCTCATACTACTGAAACAATGGCTTTCTCACAGCGGCCGTGTACTCCATTAACATTCTGGGTACTCCGTTAAAGTTCATGGAAAATCGTTTAAGTTATGGGAATTTTCCTCAATCTCTGGGAATTTTGCTGAAGTTCTGTAATTACTTCTCGAACATGTGTTTTCTTGGATATTTTGCTCCAACCGTTTTAAATAAAATCATTTGGTCTCATCCGTTTAAAGTCCCAAAAAGCTTCATCAACTTCTAGTTTCAAGTTTTCCAATAGGCTCAAACCGAAAAAGCCATAAAAAAAAGCTCTCCTTCTCTTTCGACGATGATTCACTGTGAAGGCAGATATTGCTGTGAGGACAACCACCGAACTTTAGTTGAAATCATTGTAACAGAGTGAATCTGACGGCCAAAGTGGATGTAACATTGCTGCGCGTCAAAAATCGTAATATGTGCTAGCCTTAGAATGATATAACCATTTTTATAAGACCCAGAATGATGAATTTTAAGTATCTGAAGTTTAATTTTGCTTTTGCCAATTGTGCGATTATGATTTGTTTTTAAAGATCAAAGACCTTGCATAATTTTATGTGTTCAAGATTTTGTAATGTTGAAAATGACCCTTCTCAGTAAATTAAAAAAGGTACAGAATGTTGAAAACTTATCCGAAGATATTCTAAGTAAAATCTTTAAATTTTAAAAATTCTTCCATTCTGTCTACTGGCGTTTGGGCTACTGGCCTTCGGTCTAATTGCATTCGGCCACACCGTCTTACATAAAACATATCTCAAATACCTCAAGTTATTCTAAAAACTGAGTAAAAATGCATACATTAAAATCCATCAACTCAGATCGCTTTTCCTAACCCATGCTTGAGTTAAACCGACAAAAGTTTCACCAAGACCTCAATGTTTTTTCTTGCATTCTACTGACTGAGCAGATGCGTCCCGAAACTGACTGGGAGCGATAAATTTGGGAGGAACCGTTTTTTCTGGTGGCACCATCATTATCGGATGTTTTCATTCTGTGGCCGATGGCTGTTGGCTGGTGAAAGAAAAATAACCATCCGATTTCCAAATCGTTTCAGCACTCACAGACGGTTATGTACGGTCCAGCAGCCAGCTCTAGTCCAAGAGCGGGTTGCAGCCTATCACACGGGTCACAAAATCGAGAACGGTCATCGTACGTCGTCACAGGCCGTGTTCGGCTATGGGACACATACCTACATTGTAGGTTTGGGGCATAACGAAATTCCCGCAGAACAAATGCGAAGCAATCAAGCGAAATTAAATTTAAGTACCTGTAAAAATGCCGCACTATCAGTCTCTTTTAACGCTTCGATGCAGAACTGTATTAATCCTGTGGTTTGCTGTAGTTTCCCTGTACAACTCGCTTGTTGATCCTGTCGGCGATGAGAGAGGAAGAAAAATTCGAACAAAGTGAAACAAAGTGTCATTAGATTAATTTTACGTCCCGCGGATTTAAAGCAGGGGGAATATCTAAGGCTGCCTTTTCCGATTTTAGCTTACCTTTAGTGTTCTAATTTTGGTATCCTTATCTTGCCGGATGGCTTCCAACAGGACTTCCCTCCGCGCGTTTATCGCCTCTATCAGTGCTTCACATTGGGCCGTCACCACTCGTTCAAACTCGATGCAGGATTCCTGTGATGGTAATGTTGTTTAATTAGAAATAATACTTTATGGACGCTTGGTTGATTGACTCCAATTAGGTGCGACGGATCAGATACCAATAGAAACAGATATTTTTTTTAACCTACTCACCGTAACTTTATCGCTCATTCCTTTCAGTCTTTGGATAAATTCTGTCGTCGACCGTGCTTTCTCCGACAGCTGCTGCAGGTTATGTGATAATTCAGTCTGCAAAAAAGAAGACATGTATTCATAATTTTAGTATATGGTGGATCTGGAATTTGGTATGATATGACCATAATTATTGTTTTTATATTCGTTAAAAAAAATACAATCGATCTATTTTTTTTTGCTTAGGAATACGGGTCGAGGTGATTGCATATTAGATTGTGCAGTGTAAAGTTAACAGGTGACTATTATTCCACTCATATTAATTTGTTTAACTCTTCATTTGCTCCAAATTCAAATCAATTAACATTATTTTTTACGGGCCAGGACGTTTGGCAAACGAATTCAATCATATGGACGTTTGGCATCCGAATAGACGATTAGCCGAAAATAGTATTCACAAATTTTTGCCATTTTGCTGGACTCCTGGAACAGGTCGGTTCTAGACTCATAACCTGTATTTTTTCCTTTGGTTTGTTTTTTCCGTCGATCTTATTTTCCGTGCTGAGCACCAATGCTACCGACGTGCCAGGAAGGCAGCTCCCACACCTGGACCCTACCTATCGACCCAACAACTCATGAACCGGGGACCAACGGCTTTACTTCCCATCCGAAGGAAGGCGTGATCAGAGATGTTATGCCTCAGAACATCCCGGCGGCGCCGACTGGTATTGAACCCAGGCTTGCTGGGGTGAGAGGTAATCACGCTTACCACTACACCACCGCCGCCGTTTACATAACCTGTATTCGCCGGAACATGATCCGGTAATATTTCCGTTGACCGATTAAAAAAATATTCAAAATTGTTCTATGGGGTCACAGTATCTTTCATCTGGCTCTTGTTGCGTCCAAGTAGGTGCTGTGACAAATTGACCCCAATGTACAAACAAAGGATCGGATGTGATTCATGATAAATTTACTAATGCAGTTTGTTTCAACATTTTACATTTTCTCGGAAGAAAGCGGAGTATGCAACTCGGTGCTTACTGCAAAGAAACCAACATTGATGTATTTTCAGATCTTAGTTGAAATATACAGCAATTAAACATTAATTTTACATGGAATTATTTAATAAAACATTCATTTTGTACAATGAATTTTACATCCATGTGTGTTTTTACACGGTAGTTCAATTGATTTAATTTTCAACAAAAAGCGTATAAATTTTCATGAAAAAGTAAATTTCAGCTATAATTAATTGAATTTCAGATCGTTAAACGTGTAATTTTATATTTAAAACCCTGCTCCAGTTGGTAGTTGAAAATGACAAAATTTTTTTATCTGTGGGATGACCACTGCAAAGATAAAAAAAGACTCTTTATCAAGATAGAGACAAATGTCTTCAAAGATTAATTTCTATAGTAATCTTCTCATGGCTTGAGCATTTCGTTACTAAGTGTCAAGCAAACGTCAAGGTTAAGTAACTGCAAACGTTTCAGCACCCATATCCGACAGTCATGCACTCCATGATTTATGGCTCCTCGTTGAACCGTCACGAATTTATTTTTTTTTGCCACCACAAGACTGCCAGCATGAGTGCCAATCCATGGCCTGGCCCCAGAAGAAGTTCATTATCGTCCATCCATCCATCCATCCAATGGATCTTCCATCCACATTGTGCATACCGACCGCCTACGGGGCCATCTATCGTTCTCGTGGTTTATGTGTGTGTGTGTGTGTGTGTTTGCGTGCACCCGGAACATTTATGTGCAATTGACCATGCACCAGTGAGCGACGCCACAAAATTGCATGCAATATGCGTTCGCATAAGTCTCAATCAGAAACCCATTTCGCCGGAACGGCTGGTTCAAGGACAAAAACGTGCATATAAAACGGAGGGAATACGAAATCTACTGCATACATACTAGCGCTTTGCATGATTTGAATTTAATTTTTTGACGAATTGCTCTCCTGCCTCCAACCCACCTAACCACCTAGACGCCAAATGAACGAATGAATGAATGATTTGAAATTGGAAACAAATGGACACATATTGGATTTCTGTTTCGAATGGGTCCGTACCGTATCTTGTGACGAGTACTGTCTAATATAGAGAATGGGACACCCGTTTTTTGGTAGTAAACGAATACAGTTTGATGTTTTGTGACAGAAGTTTTACCGATGTGACAATGTTACTGATATGAACCAAGTTGCGTTGCCATATTTTTCTCTAGCTTATCGGTACCGAAGGTTTTAAAATATCGGAATCTTATTATTCGAAAAGATATACATTTTCTGGCGCTTTTGATGAAGATGAAAAAATATTTTTTGAGGCTCCGCCGTCATCAGCCCTTGTGTCTGCCTCTGCTGCGATGTCCTGCTGGGCTCCAATCCAGCGCTTGCTCAGCACAGATAAAAAAAAATCCAAACATTTCATAGGTACTTTTCGCAATTATCATGGTGAAGAAACACAAAAACAGACTGGCCAGCGGAAAAAATGTCGTGACATTTCAGAATGGTTGTTTGGCAGCAACAATACATCGCAGAAGCAGACAAGATCATTTACGACATGTCATGTGAAATTTTGCTAATTTCTGGCGAATTGCATTTATTTGATGTATATTGCATGGAATATAAAGATAAGAATGAATACTATCCAATCATAGGCATATATGTTAAAATTATGCGTAAAAAAGGGAGTTGATAATTTTCTGCCACACGCAAAATTACAGCTAAACATTAATAAGAATTACTGATTGAAAAAAATGGGCTGTGACATTTTACCTATTCCCTATCTCCACCGTTCGATTGTTATATATATAAAAGGGAAATGGATGTAATGTCGGCTAAAATGCCCCTAATTTGGGTCCATACATAAATTCAGCAATCGACTAAATTTTCAATAGCGGCCAAAAATATCCATGAGTACCGTCCCAATGACACATTGAGCAGAATTTTAGCGATGGGCCCAATCTTAAATCCACAGCCCAACATCAGAGCCATTGCTCCTATATAAAAATGAATTTCTGTCTGTCTGTGTGACCCTCATAGACTCAGAAACTACTGAACCGATCGGCGTAAAAGTTTATAGACAGGGTTTGTTTTTTGGCCGGGAAAGGTTCTTATGATTTTTCGAGACTCCTCCCCCTCTTTAAGGGGGGGGGGGGGCTCCCATACAAATGAAACAGAAAAATATAGCATGTTTTTTTGAATCGGCGCATGAACTCAAGCAAGGCCGGGCACACTTAGCTAGTGCAAATATGAAGGTTGAACACAAAAAATTCTGGACACATTAAAAACGCTGCCATTAAGGCATTTTTTGAGTAAAATTATTCAAAACTTCACTGTATCAAGCTAAGAGTGTATAGAATCACAGTAGGCATTTGTTGTCAGGATAAGTTCATTTGTTTACATCATGCCTTCACCGGAGCATGTACGTCCGGGCAAAAATCTCGGTCTATCAGCTCCTGAAAAGTTTCAATCAAATTCCTGTGCAGGAAGAGGACCCCGGAAGCATTTAAAATAAAAAATAAGTCGAAATTCCCCAAAAATGTATTTGTTTGACAAGCAATCTGCAGTTGTGGACTGAATAACACTTTTGTTACTTCTGGGACCATAAATCAGCAAATTTACCAGGAGGAGTGCCTTCAGAAGAGACTACTGTCTTTTCTGGAGCAGCATGAGGTGGATTGCTTATTCTGGCTGGACTTGGCAAGCTGCCACTACTCATATTCAACCAAACAGTCGACCAAACAGTCGTACAGCGGAAATGGCGTCACAGTGGTTCCCAAGGAGATTATTGCTTCAAATACTCCGGAACTAAGGCCAATTGAGGAATACTGGTCAATTTTGAAGCACATACTGAAGAAAAATGGTGAAGGGTTTCGATTGGAAATGGAATTTGGCAGCCAAAAAATTGGGAACAGGGCTCGTGCAAAAGATGATGGGTCGTGTACAAAGAAAAGTTCGAGCAATGGCCTATGGTAAGAAGGAAGACTGAAACAATGCTTATTAATACCTACTAATGTATAGCTGTTACAAGATTTTCGTGTCCGAATTTTTTCGTGTTCAACGATCCCCCTTGTGCTGGCTGTTTTGTTCCGCTCTGGACGATGGTTTTGCAACAAATGTTGCAGCTAAATCAGGGGGTTATCACTGAGCCACATTTTAAAACTTCATGTTGTTGGCATATCGAAGCATTAACAGGTTGCCATTTAATCAGAATAAACATCTGTACCTAAACGTCAAATCCCATAGGTAGCAGATCGTCAAAATCGAAGACATGTTGGATTCAAACTAAATATAAGGATTTTGACAGCTGTAGCCATGTAGCAGAAAATATAAACAACATGCAAACGTAATATGATATTATGATATAAACGTTCATGAACACATAATTTGACAACCGTAAGGTCAAGTTGACAGTAATCATAACAAAAATGAGATCTAAATGGAATATTAGTATGTGTAAATCTAGCTTTTACTAAAAACAAATCAATGTAGGCTTTTTGTCATTGTTTCTGTTGTTATTATTTATCAAAATCAGTTGTGCGCAATGTCATCGATTTCAACTAAACTTTGCTAAAATGCTAATTTTGATATTATAAGCATGTGATCGCGCACGGGCGGGATCCCTACGTTGTGTTTATGATCGTTGTGATAGGTACGGAGATGGAAATAAATAAAACACACAGTTTGCTTGAGCGTCCTGCCATGGCGGAGGTATTCGAGATACTGTATTGTTTTCTATATTTCTTTGTATAGTAGCTACAGTATGTAGGGTAGTTGTACATGTAGATGACATTGCACAAACAGCATGGTTAATTCCACTCACTAGCCATAAAAAATGTTTTTTTTTTCGGAATTATAAAATCGTTACATATTTAATATTCTTGTAAATAAGAAAAAGTTGTAAATCATGTGTTTGACACATAAAACCTGTAAATTTCGCTTTTAGAGCGCGATCGTGAGCGCTCACTCTGATTGGATTGGAAAACTTATCTACTACAGGTGTTTTTGAAATGAAAATAGTTTCAAAATACAGTTCATAAGATATGGCCAGATGAGTGAGTGCAGGCAATTAGAAGCTTTACACATTGGCGTACCTAATGGGGGTGCGA